AAATAAACCTTTTCTCTTTATAAGTTGATTATGTCAAGTATTTATTACAGTACTAGGCAGCTGACTGTACCTATCATCTCTATGAAACAAAAGTGGCAAACCACTGGTTTTACTGCTGGGGTGGGTGTCAGGTCTGGTCATGAAGGCAGCAGCTTTTGATGTCCATGTTCTCAGACTCAGCAGCCACTGCTGTGGGATCAGGGGTAGGGATGCTGCCCTTGGTGGTCCTGGCTGCCCAGTGCCACTCTGGTCACTGGATCCTCTGAGGCAGTCATACTATGTGCCAGAGCTAGCGACAGTGTATATTAGTTAATGTTTGGCACATAGGGAAGGGAAGGGAGGGAGAGAAGAAGAACATGGAGCCTAACCTGGAGCATTTATCAATTTCTATGGTATAAACACTACCATCATGGCCAAATTCAAACTACTATTGGAACATCACTGAACTTGAAGGTGAGAAGAGATGCACAGTAGCACATCATTACATAATGTTAATGTTTCCATCACAGATACAACAGCATAAAGAGCATAGCTAATATCAAACTATATTAAAATGATTAGAAAATAATGGTTTTGACTGTGTTTCCCCTCTTCTTCTCATACAATGTATTCAGATTTTACATAATTTTGTTTTTGTTTTTGTTTTGGTCATTTGATGGTGCTGCTGAGGATTGGACCCTGGCCCTCATGCATGCTAGGCAAGCACTCTAACACTGAGCCACATCACCAGCCTTTCATTTTTATTTCAATAATGGCTGTATTTAACTAGTGTTGAACAAAATCCCTAAAAAATTGAACAGTCAGATCTCTTAAGACTGTACAAACCAGTTCTAGCACATACCTAACTGAAAAGGAAGAAAATGTGGGCCCAGGTAGTAGCCAAGAGTCCAAGTTCACAGTACAGGAAGGTACTCGTGGGGCCACTGGAGATGTCTGGCAGAATTGAATGAGGGAAGAAAATACCAGAGAGCCGGAGGGTCCAAGCCCAGAAGATGTTATTTTGTTGTGGCTGTTTTGACCTGTTTCTATTTCTGGATTATGGGTAGCAATTGAAATCTAACCCGAGGGGTCAACACCGAGATCTTCTCCCTCTTCAAACACACCTATGCAAAATATTTCCAAGGTGCAGAAAAGGAAAGAGTGCCCCCTGGCCTTACCCTGTGACCAAACTAATCCTTGGCCCCACCTTTCTCTAGCAATGCCCGTCATGTCCTGCAGAATCAGTCCCTGGTTTGCTCCTTTCTCCTCTGCCCCGGATGAACCAGGTCATGGGGCATGTTCCGGGATGCCACCCTCCTCAAACAGCCGCAGTGACTACAGCCTTCTGCCCAAGCCTGGGAGGAGAAGCAGCCCTGAGGCGTCCAGCGTGGACCAGCAGCTCTGAGGGCTGGAGGAGGTTCTGCCCAAAGAGTCATTTACCAGAGCACAGTGAAAGCAGCAGCCCAAGTCCAAAAAAAGAAAGGGTTATGAACTAGATCTGTGTAATGACACAGCATGTGTGCGATTAATTGTTGTCAAAGCATTTTGCTGGCTGCATTCATCTCTTCTGTAGGAGAACAAAACTGTCATAACGATGACAACTTTATTCAACATTTGTGCAATTACCAAGCCTAAAAATAAGAAGCTAAGGGGAGACTTTTCTTAAGAAGGGGGAGCTGAGCTCTGTTCCCCATGTCGCAAACCGAGGACAGTACGCCCCCAGGACAGAGGGAGGAAAGGAAGAAAGCTGGATTCATTGAGGGTTGCTATGTGTTACTATGAGAAGCATCTTACCCGCTTCATCTGCATAATCCTCCAATGCTGTGAAGAGAGGGGCAGCAGAATAGGGCACTGAAGAGCAGAATTTGTTGGTTCAAGATTTGTGGAGACAGGTTCTCTGCTCCAAGCCCTCTGTGCACGCACGATTCATTTCATTATCACAACGTTCAAGGGAGGTACTATTACCCCATTTTACAGATGAGAAAGTTGAGTCTCAAAAAGGTTAAGAAGCTGGTACAAGAGCCAGCAACCCAAATGCTTATGATTATAATGTCGTTCATGCTGACTTGCTTGCTGTGAAACACAGGAGGTGAGCAGAGCCACAGTCCTGCAATGGCCCTCCTCCTGTTTCATCTCTATTTCCCTTCTCTTGTCTTTATCACCTCCCATCCTCCATCTCTGGGGATGTGCATCACCCTTTCAGGAATACAAGTATGTTCAAGGTCCTAAAGTCAAAAAGACCCGGATTGGAATCTGCACTACTTATTAGCAATTGTGAACTTAGCTCATGTGCTTGACCCCCATAAGCCTTAGGAATTCCAAGCACACACTGAAGACAGTCCTACTTTGAATTAATACCATGAAGATTTAATCAGATGCTTTGCAGAGAGCCCAGTGCATGGTCAGCTGCAGTTGCTATCATTACTGGCTAGAGGACATGGCATTGAAACAGGGAGTTAGGTCCTAGCCTGACCCCTCGACTTGGGATACTATCAGGGGTCAGGAGAGCAGCCAGGTCCAGGGATCTTCCCTCCATTCCCATATGGCCAGTGGTCTCCATGATCCCCCAAAGGGTAGAATTTGCCTGGGCATGGGCATAGGGCAGAGTGTGGATGGCAGGGAAGGCTTGCCCTCTGTGGAGTTAGGGAGCAATTACCATGTGCCAGGCCCTGTTCTAAGTATTTGCAGATATCAATTCATGTACTCTTTATAACAAACCAGAATGGTGGGTGCTATTGTTTTCCTACCTAGCAAAGTGAACGTGAGCTTAAATGACTCCCCTCCCCAGGGCCTCTGGACCCAGCCATACAATGTCTATGGCTCTGCCTGTCTATAGGAACAGAATCAATTCACCAGCCGTGTCCCCTTGAGAAGCTCTCTCCTGAACTCATTCTTGGGAATGGTGAGCTCTCCCTTGCTCAAGGAAAATATTCACTTTCTGATTATTAAGATTCTGGAAAACTCTAAGGACTTTCTCTTGGTGCCCATGTCCTCAGACCCAGCAACCAGTGCTATGGCATCAGGGATAGGGATGCTGCCCTTGGTGGTCCTGGCTGCCCAGTGCCACTCTGGTCACTGGATCCTCTGCTGCAGTCATGCAATGTGCCAGAGCTAGGGACAGTGTATACTAGTTAATGTTTGGCATGTGGGGAAGGGAAGAGGGTGGGGAGTGAGGAAGAACATGGGGCCTAATCTGGAGCATTTACCAATTTCTATGGTATAAACACTACCATCATGGCCAAGTTCAAGCTACTATTGGAACATCACTGAACTTAAAGGTGAGAAGAGATGCACAGTAGCACACCATTACATAGTGTTAATGTTTCCTAAGTTGCTGAGGCTGACTTTGAACTAGTGATCCTCCTGCCTCCCAAATTGCAGGGATCACAGGTGTGTGTCACCACACCCAGCTGAGGCTTGTTTCTCTGGATGAGGATAATTCATCTTCTCAGGAACACAGCCACGCTGAGACCAAGCAGTCCTGAAGGTAATTGCTCCCGCCAATGGTTACCCAGCCAGGAGGAAGAGTATTGGCCAAGGGAAGTCTTCTTCAAAACTCCACCTCCGATTCTCCAGTTTTTAGCCATTAGCCTCCCAGCAGAAGCCTGAATTTTGTTTTCTGTAGAATTTTTAGAAGCACAATGTCTTTTTGAAAATGTGCTTTTTCTACCTACCACTTTGCCAACCATATGGAGACGAGCCCCGCCCATGATGGGGTTGAAATGAACGAGTCAGTGAGGTGAGACACCCAAGTTGTCGCTGCATTTTAAACATAGCACACAACGCATTACACAAACACCATTCATAAACCTGACTCACAGGTTTCAGACGGGAGCTGGGTACAAGTATAAATAGCCTGTGTATGTTAAACAGTAGAAAAGCAAGGAAATTTGGGGAAGAGGGTCAAAATCATTGTGCCCAATTTAAACATCATAAAAATCTCAACCTTGTCATTATTTACAACCCCCGCATACCTCCCACCAGGAAAAAAAAAATGGAGAGAAAGCCAAGTGGAAAATTCTAAATAAGCTGATGTCCTCACATTGAACTAAACAGTACAAATGATGCAGCATCATAAAATGAAGTTATAATTATGTTGTCTCACTTCCTGGCTGCCGGATGCCCACGGTACAGAGCAGCCACTCGACAGAATTTTCTGGGCTTGGAATTGCTTTGGGATTTTTCTTTTTTTTTTTTTTTTACAAAAAGGTAGCTTTGACTAGTGTTGACCAATTGATTCGCATTAAATGACTCCAATGGTTTTTGGTGGCAGCGGAAGAATCCACCTTGGGATGGTGAAGGACTAACACCTTGAACGTGTGACAAATGTTTTAAAAATCCACTTCTCCCATATTCCCCCTCCATAGCTCAACCGGTGACCCTGGACATAACTTATTGCCAATAGACTGCCCCAAGCCCCATTCATAAAGTTACTGCTCAGACTCTCACTAAGCGTGGTATGAAAATGGCATGTCGGCAGGCTCATGGCTGGTTACTGGCCAAGGCCAACCCTGCAGACTTCCAGCCCCTGCCATTGAGGTGTGGCAACAATTGAGAAGATGTACAACAAGAGTCTTGGGCATGGCCAGGACATCCTGGAGACTTCCGATCGTTCCCCTGTCCTCGTAGACTCAGCCTTGACTCTGGGTCACTTTGTTCCTTAGCAGGCAGCCTGCAGCCTTCTGGCCTCATTCCCACCATCCGGGAACTCCATGTGAACTTGCAAGGTGCCATTCGATGAAGTAGATTCAGGAAGCAGCCACCATCTCTCAGGAGAAGTTTAGTTTTTCATTACCTATTTCCAGGTGCCCTGCTGCTCAACCTGGGCCGGGGATTTGAACGCCAAAGACGGAGACACCCAGGACAATGACAGACACGCACAGTTAGCTCAGGCCCCCACCGCTGTGTGGTTTCAGTTCCTTCCTGTTCAATCACTGCCTGCCGGGTCTCTTTCTCACGTGTCCCCACTCTGGTTTCTCCTCCAGTCACCAGCAGAAGTGGACTTCTCAGCCTTGACCTCTCCCATCTCGGTCTCTGATGATGTGTGTGGCCTTTAGGTTAAGAGCTCACTAAAGTGTAGATCATGCTGGATGCAAAAAGAAAAGGGCAAGCGGGTATTAGCAGGAGCTTCCAAAAGACTGGTCCCCTCGGCTTCTCCATCCTTCCCGTCACTAGAGCATCTGGTCTACCCCCTACTGTGCCCCTTGGACTTCCCATAATGCTGAAATGAGCATTTGTTAGGACAACATACTGTGTCCCTTGGATAAAAGATGTGATTGCAATAAGTACCTATTATTATTCTCATCGGGAGGACTATTATGGTTCTTATTTCTTTTCCTGCAATTGCAGGGCAGGTCGCTGGGGGAGACAGGGGGTATAGCAGATACTTTATGCCACCAGCTGCTGTCACATGTTTACATGATGGCTGTGTCCAGGGGCTCCCAGATGGTGATGCAAAATATGTTAGCACCACAGATCTCAAGTAAAGATCACTATCGCTACTGTCAGCACCAGTGTGTGAACACAGCTCCCCGCCACCGCCACCGGGCATATGAACTATATGAATTCAACACTGGGTAACTCCCCGTCCCTCCTGTGTTAATGAACTCCAAACATTATGAGCATGGTTCCTAAGGTGGTGCTCCAACAGTACCAAGAGTGGAGGGGCATGCATCTTGTGCTCTTAGAAGAAACTTCAAGTTAATTCTGCAAGGCTACTGAATGATCCACACCAAAATAAAACACTTTTTGAATATTTGGCAAAAAAGAAAATCACCTTTTCACATTACAGAAAGCAAACAGGATAGTCTAAGAAGCAAAACCCAGGCAAAGAAATGAAAATGTTCCTTTCTAAACCTTTGCAGCTGTGAGGACAAACGAGCTCTTCTGAGCAGCCCACACTCCATTTTCCACAATATGATGGGCCTGATGTTCACAAAGCACCGCTGGCCAGGGCTAGAGCTAGAGGGACTCACTCAAACCATATGGCTAGTGACACTAACTCCAAGTCTAGTCCTTTTTCCCTTATGACACTGAGCCTCCTTGTGGATGTCTTTAATTCACTTCCACTCATCCTTTTATTCAATAGTGATTGAGCGCCTACTGTATGCCAGGCCCCATTCTCAGTGCAGGGAAACAATGGTGAATGTGCAACCCTCGTCCCTGCCTCAAATAAACATGTACCCAAGTTGCAATAACAAACAACAAGGTTTTAATGAGCACCAACTATGTGCTGGACACTGATCAGGGCACTGCAGATACAGAGGTGAACGAAACAGAAAAGTTCACTGCTATCAAGGGACAAGTAAGCCATAAATAATGTAATTAGAGAGTGAGAGAAATAAACCTGAAAAGAGGCAGCCACCATCCAGGATAACTGGGCAGGAGGATGTTGCAGCTTAGGAAGATAATATGGCCCCGTTATACTCTGGGTTTCAAAAGCTCTTTCTATTGAGTGTGTTGACTATTTCTATGGAGTGACACTGAACTCACCAGCCACTATTAGCATTAGCTCGTCTCCATCTCGCACAGCCACAAACATCTCCTGGCCCACAAGATAAACTGAGAAGGGATTGCCATATAGCTATATGCCATATAGCCATATTGTTAGCACCATGGAGTGGAATAAGCTTGGGCCCTGGAGCCAGATGAACTGGTAATTATGAGCAGCCTCTTTGGACATGTTTCTTCTCTGGGGGCTCTCAGGAACCTCAAACTGTAAAATGCCAACCCCACCTTCACATGGTCCTCAGGGGCACTCACATGAGATTCTAGCCCAGTGCTGAGCTCAGAGGCAGCTCTGCACACATGTGCCCTTTCGTCCCTCTGACAGCAGCCCAGGCTGACAGTTCTGTGTCTTCTACCAGCTCTGGATCTGGGTTGGGAGCTCCTGAAGTGGGAGAAACAGGGTCTTCCAAGAGGCCTGAAGAGCTCCAAGAGGTCAGATTTCACAAAAAACATGGGCACACTCAGCCCACCACCCAGGGACCTGGTGAGGCAGGGTAGCATTATTTATAAGTTTATTTTGGAAACCAAGTAGTTAACATGAAGGAGCTGGAGTGATGGACTCAAGGACAGATCGTTAAGCAGAATGTCAGGAACATACTCAGTTACAGAATGATCACGTCTACTGAAAGGCCCGGAAGCCACCAACAGCATCCTGCGCCACCCGCTCCCGCCCCCACAGCCCAGCAGACACAGAGCAGCATTGCTTTCTGTCTGGGGATTCAGATGCTTCAGACTCCAGCCTTTACTGCGACAAAACAGAAATGAGGGCACTTGGCTTGCCTCAGTCTCCGGGACTAGGGTGGATCCCAGCTCAGGGGCAGGAGTCAAGGGAAGTAGTAGCTTTGTTCTGCTGATTTAAAAGAGGGACAAAGCTGTCTCTGGGGTCAGGCCACTCAGCCTATGACTCTGCAGAAGAGTGGTCTGCAGCCCCATGAATAAAGTAAGGTTGGGTACATTCCAGAGAAAAGACCTAAGAAGGGGGTCACCTAAGAAACCACCAAGGTGTGGAGTCGCTCAGGCCATGAGAGCTTTGTCCCCATGACAGGAACCAGCCTGAGTTGCTAAAAAGCTCAAACTTGAAGCCAAAAAGACTTGGGTGAATTGCTGGGCATCTCAGAAATCACCAGAGGCATTAAAAACCCTTAGGTTCCCTGCAAGTTGAAGCAGGAAACTCCACTGGAGTGAAACCTTGAGCCTGAAGCAACTCTTAACTTCAAGAAGAAAATGCTAGAGGAACCCTGAATCCTGGAAGAAGCTGAGCCTGCAGTCACGGGGGTAGAGAGGGGGGAGAAGGCCAACAAAGCAGACACTCCAGGGGCAGTGCTCACCCTGAGGTGTGCATTTGACCCCCCCCCCTCCACCAGGGGCACATTTAAAGTGCAGACATCTAGGCCTCTGAAAGTCTGACTTGTAAAACTAGGTCCAGAAATTTGCATTTTTAAGAAGGATGCTCTCTGCACTTCCCATCCATCATTGATAAAGACTTGTCTAGTGTTTCTCTAAAACAGGCGGTAAGTTAAGAGTTCAGGTTTGGCATCAGCCTGGGAATAGACTTCCCACTGTGACGCTATTAGCTGTAACCTTGGAGAATTATCTACCTTCTCGGAGCCATCTCCTCGTTTTTTAATACGAGGATAGTATTTATCTCATACAAAGCTCTTAGCTCAGAGCCTGGTTCATTTTTAAATGCTGGACAACACAGTCGCTTCCCAGCCTACCATAGCCCAATCCAAACCCAGAGGTGTCTATAGAGTCTAACATCCCCACTTTTCCTCTATACAACTATCACCCTGTCTGGAAACAGCACTGGGATGTCTGGGGTCCACAAGAGGTGGCAAGGTAACAGGAGAGAGGCCCCAAGATAATCACAAAGAGAAACAGGAAGGAGATGTTTCCAAAAAAGATACTCTAGGGTATCAAACCATAAGACGGTCTGTTTATAGCTACCTGCTTAGCTAGGACATTCTGAGTGAAGAGGTGAGAAGGTGAGATTCCCAACAGGGAGTTGCAAAGTCAGCAGAGTGGTGTTATATAATGTGGGAAAATTGTGAGCGTAAGCATTTAATGACCCAGTGTGCCACATTGCAGAGCATGACTGCCACTGGGGGTTGCTCTTATGGTGCCCAAGAATCTTTAGACACAGGCTGGGGGAAAAGGGTCTTGGGATGAGGCTGTGCTCCTAGGGCCACAGGTAACTTGATGGGTGGAGTGACAGTGTTCTGGGAAGGAGTGGCCAATGGCAATTCACCAACTATCTCCTGAAAGATGGTGGTAAAATGTGTTTAACTGTGGCCATAGGGATGTGTACAGGACCTTCCGCCTCTTACTCCTTTATACAGAAGTCCTCGATCCTGAACTAGAGTCAGACACAACTGACTCCCACCCTCATCAGCCAAGCCCCTGGAGGCAGCCTCCCCAAAGGAGGTAGAAATTCCCTTGGGAAAATCCCCTTCCATTTTCTGCAAGAGTCAAATCCACCTGGAGGGGCAGAAACTCACCAGTAAAGGTAGTAGAAGAAGGAGAGGAGGTAGAAGGCCAGCTTACACCAGGCCTCCTTCTGACAGTAGCTCAAGGTGTCTGCATTCATGACCACTGGCGGGTCGTAGGCCAGCTCTGAACTATCTGCCGGACAGTGGAAATACCTGCAGGGAAAGAGGACATGGCATCACTGGCTCTGAGGCTCTGGGACTTCCAACATCACCTGGGTCAAGCCCTCCTGATCCAGGACTTCCCTCCTGTCATCCCTGCCAGTCTTCTTCCTTCTGCCGGGCACCACTCAAATGTGGCTCTGCCACCATCTTCTAATAGGATCAGAGTGACTTTCCCACGTACAATGATGCTCTGATGGAAAGAAAAAAAAAATGTGTCTCCTGGTGTCCTCTGGGAGTACTAGGAAGGGCTTCCTTTCAGAACAGACGCAACTGTGGTGAAGGTAGGCCTCTGTGCCACTGTACCTACATTCTGCCTTAAAGTTCATTACTTTGGAACTGAGGATGTAGCTCTGTGGCAGAGAGCTTGCCTGGCGTGAACAAGGTCCTGAATTTGATTCTCAGCACAGCAAATAATAATAACTATTTTGAATTAAGTATTTCCCTCTATGCAAACCCTCAGAGGTAGAACTCTAAGAGGGACATCATATTCCCATTTGGATATAGAGTAATTTTTAGGTACTTCTCTTCTTGATAGAAAGACCCAGAAGAGCAGAAAGAACATTCTCCATCCATGGGGAAGCTGGAAGAGTAAAAGAGCTATGGGTGGAGGAGAAAGACCACAGCAGGCTGTCTGCTTCATAAGCCCCAAATCCACACAAGTGTCACATCAGTGGCCAAGGCCAGGGAGGAGAGCACCCCCTGGATTGCTGCCCTCAGGACCTGATCTTTAGCCCCTACCAGGACACTGGCTGCACCTCTTCAGCCCAAGAACACAGGGCAGCTGAATTCACCCAGCAGGCTGCTTTTCATCCCTCTGGAAAAGGAATCCTGGGAGGAGGCAGGAGTGAGAATTCATGGCTCCTTCAAGGTTCTGGGACAGGCAGTGGTTCTCGATCCTGAGGAAGGACCAGGTGACCCATCCTAGTGGTTCTGAAGACCATCCCTATAACACAGAAACCTGCAGACCTGGCATCTCAGTTCCCTTTTCCTTCCCCTTCAAAGAATTGCATTGATGGGATCTGTCACCGACATTATGCAGAGAGGACATCACAAGCCAGATTCAATGATACCTGCCAGATCATAGCCCTCTGGGCCACTCACCTCTCCTCTTTCCGGGAGGAGATTTCAAAACCTATTTGCTTTCACTGTGGCTTTGTTCCCAGGTGACCTTGTTAAGTGGAGGCAGAGGGACAGGGTGACCAAATGTTTTGGTGGAAAGAACCAGGGTCTGTTTCCTGGTCACCAGAATGATCTTCCTTAGGTCAGTCATTAACCTGTCTTGGCCTTAACTTCTCATCTATAAAACAGGGATGAAATTGCCCACCTCAAAGGACAGTTGTGATGATTGTGTGAAGTGATGTATGCAAATAACCTGCAAAAAGAATGGGCACCGAATCAGTGGCAGACAGCTCTACTTGTACTGAAGCAAATTGAGAGTGAGAGCAGAGGGACTTTAATGGCATGAGAAACATCCCTGACCTGGGTCTGTTGGAAAAGGAAAACCAGGTGTTCAAAGACTCTGATGTTTTGCTCGTTTGTTTTGGTACTGAGGATTGAACCCAGGGGTGCTTTACCCCTGAGCCACATCCCTAGCCCATTTCATTTTTTATTTTGAGACAGGGTCTCACTAAGTCACTTAGGGCCTCACTAATTCCTGAGGCTGTCCTCAAACTTGCAATTCTCCTGCTTCAGCCTCCCAAGTCGCTGGGATTACAAGTATGCACCACCACATACGGCAAAGACTCTGGTTTTTAAGGAATTCTTTATTCTCATTCTTTTTTTATTTTTTTTTCTTTCATGTTTGGGCACTTACTAATTGTGTTAGTAACAGTGTATAGTATATAGGATCTCATTGCTAGATCCTATCAGGGATCCAAAAAAATAAGTCAAGGTCCCTACTGGCAAGACTACAGTTACTCTTCCTCTTTGGATGCACAGATTCTGAGCCTAGGGGCACTGGTACTTTCCATTTTCTTCCATTTAGACCAGTCCCAGCCCTAAGAATAGTACAACAATCAAAGTCTCATACATTGATCACATTTTTTTTCTCTTTGGTGATGCTGGGGATCAAACCCAGGGCCTCAAGCATGGTAAGCACGTGATGTATGAACTACATCCTCACCCCATGACCACACTTTTGATACCCTCCATTGACAGCTCCCAACTTAAAGGACCTCAGGATAAACTTCATTTAGGGGGAGAAGAGACAGCCCCTTGGGCCACATGTGAGGTAGCAAGGATGTGGACTGAGATTCACACCATGGAGAGATGGAACCATGGTCCTGCCAGGCACAGGGTAAGTGACCCTGGGCAGCTGACCCACCCTGTTGAGTCTCTGTGTTCCCTTATGTGATGCAGGGAAAACTAAACCCACCTCAGTCAGCTGTTGCAGATATTGATCCAGGTAAAAGGTGGTAAAAGGTATAATTACATTACAACACTGTAATTATTCTATTTGGCTACTCTCTGTGTTCTGTGTTCTCTCTTTAACAGATTGCTTTTACTTAACCCCAAAGAGCCATGTATTGAAGACTTGGCCCCCAACTTGGTATTATTGGAGGTGATAGAACCATTAAGAGGTTGGGGCTGAGTGGGAGATCTTAGGTCACTGGGGTTGTGCTCTCAAAGAGAATTATGGGATACCAGTCTCCTCTCTCTCTCTCTCTCTCTCTCTCTCTCTCTCTCTCTCTCTCTCTGTCCCTCCCCCTCCTCTCTCTTTCTCTCTTTTCCCAGTTGCCAAAAGGTGAGCAGCTTCCCCTGCTAAGTGTTCCTACCCTGATGTATTGTCTCACCACAACCCAAAGGCAATGGGACCAATCAAGTACAAACTGAAACCCCCAAAACTATGAGACAAAATAAATCTTTTTTTCTTTCTAAGGTGATAAATACAGGTATTTTGCTACAGTAACAGAAAGCTGACCGACACAATGTACAACTTCTCTATGTAACCAAGTCATTTTCCTTTCCTCCCTAAACCTTTGATTTGTTATTCTTTGTGTTTGATCAATGGCACCATCATCCTCCCAGCCTCCCAGCCTCCCAGCTTAGAAGGTCCCTCTCACCCCACTCTTTTATTCAATTTTCGGCCAAGTCCTGCCCAGTTTACCCACAGGTGTTCTCCTGTTGTCTCATGATTTCAACTTCTACTTCCAGGGTCAGATCTTCTTCATCTGGATTTTCACTATGACCCTGAAATTAGTTTTCATCCTCAATATTTCACCTTTTAGCTCATTACTTCTTTACACTTCTTACCAGGGCTACCCTCCTAAAACTCAGATCAGGAAATACCATTTTCCTCCACCAAAGCCTCTTTTAGCTTTCCCTTTCTTAGAAAATAAATTAACTCCAACTTTTCAACAAATCTTCTCAGGTACCCCACATAAGATTCCCAGCCTGTTTGTCAATTGCATCTCTTCTTACCCCCTCGAAGAACACTACATCCAACCACACCAAGCAAATACTGCTCCCCAAACACACAAGTGCTCTCTTACTTCTGGACCTTTGCAAATGCTTTCCAGATTTTCCAGTGTCACTCTTCAGTCTAATTTAAGTGTTTCTTTCTCTACGCTCCTATAGATACTCATCATATGTCTGTTAAGAGTATATTTTCAGGCTAGGGATGTAGCTCAGTGGTAGAGTGTTTGCCTAGCAAACAAGAAGCATTGGGTTCTATCCTCAGCATCAAAATAAATACAAATACAAATAAATAAATTAAATAAATCATGTCCATCTACATCTTAAAAAGAAAGAAAGTCAGAAAGAGAAAGAATGTATTTTCTTCTACCCTAGGATATATAACTTGAGAGTAGGGGTTATATTTTAAACTCATCTTGGAATCCTCCACAATGCCTAACAGGTAGTATGTGTTCTGGACATTTACTAAATGAAAGAGTGAAATGCTCCTGATGTGACTAAATAAAAACTAAATGAAGATTAAGTATTTCATGGTCAAATAATGATGGTTTGGGCATCCAGAACTCTGGGAGCAAGAGGTCCAGAGGGCAATTTATCTGCACAATTACATTCTCTTCCATCTTTTTAATTCTCTCGTCCATGCTTCCTATATCCATATGGTAGCTATATTTTACAAAAAAGCCCAAATCACATGATTTGACACATGGCTTTAGCAGGGAAAAGAATATGTGAGATCAGAACTGTCCCAGAAAATTTGGTCCATCTGGTAGGTGCTTTTTGTATTAAGATATGACTTACATACCATAAAATTCACCCTTTTAAAGTGCACAAGTCAGTGGGTTACAGTGTGTTAGAGAGTTGCATACCATTACCACTAATTTCAGAGCATTTTCATCATCCTAAAAAGAAAATTCTAAACCCATTAGTGATCACTCCCCATTCCTGCTCCCATCCAGCCCTGGGAAGCCACTAATTTGCTTTCTGTCTCCATAGATTTGAGTATTCTGGACCTTTCATATAAATGGAATCATAATATGTGCCCATTTGTACCTGGCTTTTTTCCATTTATATTTTCTTTAAGGTTCATCCATGTTGTAGCATTTATCAATACTTCATTTCTTTCTATTGTCAAATTATATTCCATTGCATGGATATATCACAGTTTGTTTATCCATTTACCAGCCAACGAGCACATGGGTTATTTCCTTTTTTTTTTTTTTTTTTTTGACTATTGTGAAGAACACTGAAGCCATTTTTAATACTGACCTATAAGAGCTTGGGTTGTGATCAATGGAGCCAATATAAAGGACCTTCCCTTATATGGTCTTGCTGCCTAAGAGCAGTTTGGGAAAGGGGATTTGGAGAGAAAGTCCCCCAAAGGAAGGGATGAAGGGATCGCACTAAGTGGCTGATCTATTCGTGGGACACTGTCATTTTGAGAGCAGGCTATTTGGGCAGAAAAGAGGAGGATGGGCCAGCCTCTGACAGACTTACCTCCAGAAGTGATAGAACAGTAGAGGGACATTCAGCCCCAGGGTAAGCCACTCCTGGGCACACAGGAACATGATGCAGAAGAGGCTGTGGATGGAGTACTCTGGCAGCACCAGCTGAAGAGGAAGCAGAGACACAGGCCTGGGTCAGAGAGAGGAAAAGCTGATCCAATTCCTCCAGCAAGTGATTCTGCCTTGACACTGCCCCCTAAGCTCTGGTAACACCAGACCCTTCCTATAGCAGCCTGGAGTCAGGGCCCCAGGATGGTCACCATTTTTATGGGAAGTCTCCATGTTTTACATTCAATTGAAAATGGACTCAGGCCCTCTACACTTGCTCCTGTGAGTCGCTGACCCCTTTGCAGAATGGCGCTGGCGATCCAGCACTGTGATATCTGAAGCAAGGCAGGACCACAAGGACAAAAGTCCTAGGGCTCCTACTGATCCTCTAACTGCCTTGTTCTTGTTTTTCTAGTCTCTGTGCATCCTTTTCTAGTATCTCTTTCAAATACAGGAGGGCCCAGAAAAAAGAATTGAAAAATAGCATTTGGCTTGATGATAAATAAGAACCCAAGAGAAAAATCAAGGAACAGTGATAAACAGGTATAGTGCAACCTTGGGGACAAGGGAAGAGAAACCAGCCCAGACCAAGAAGGGCCAGATGGAGGGAGCCACCAGCAGGAAGATGAAGCTCCCCCACTCCCAATCCAGCCACACAGGGTAAAAAGAGCTTAAAATAATTATGAACCCTCTGAAGAGTGTTCACATTTTAGCAGAAATGAAAGCTATAAGCTAAAGGGTGATTGCAAGGGAGAAATTTGGTGTCTAGGACAGTATTAAGGGGAAGTCTACAGCTATGCAAAATACATCATCTTACCCAGACATGTGGGGAGAATTTATATATATGTATGTGTGTGTGTGTGTGTGTGTATATATATATATATATATATTCACATTTAATATAAACATACATTTTATATAAATAAATATATACATTTTATATAAATAATTTTTATATTTTATAAAACATAAAATGTTATATTTATAAAATTTTTTATAAAAATTTTTATTAAAAATTTATATATTACAATTTGTTTTGTTTACATATATAATTTATTTATATAATACAAATCATAATATAAATTATGTTTATGTTATATAATACAGAGACTATAAATTACATGATATTATATCTAATATATAAATTATTATTTATATTATATATTACACAGTTGGTCCTCCATATCCATGGATTCAGCCAACCAAGACTGAAAATATTTGAAAAAAAATGTTGCCTCCGTATTAAACACGTAAATTTTTCTTGTCACTATTCCCTAATAACTATTTACTTAGCATTTACATTATATTCAATATTACAAATATCTAATACAGACAAATCTAGAGATGATTTAAAGTCTATGGGAGGATGTCATAGGTTATGTACAAATACTATGCCATTTTCTGTAAGGGACTTGAGCATCTGTGGATTTTGGTCTTCACAGGGGGATCGTATATCTAACCCCCCACAGATATCAAGGAAAAACTGTACCATATTATGTGTGTTGGGGGGTCCTCAGCATCTTATATTTAGTCCATTATGAATGTTTTGGTCTTCCTATCAACATCTTTCTGTCCTTCAAGGCCCAACTCAAATTCCACTTTCAAAACAAAGTTCTGCTCACTCTATCCTGTACCTCTTAGCCCCTCCACATGCTTTCTGACCCTCTCTTAGGGGAACCTTCCACAGTCTATCCATATAGAGCCATTATCCTCCTCTTTCTAATGCGCATGGATATACTACAGTTCTCTGTAAGCTGACTGGGTCAAAGTCTATACTTTTCTTATCTCCTTTTGCAAAGTGCTTTGCACAATGCCTGACACTTAGAGACTTTACAAATATTTGATAAAATGAACTGAACTAACTAAATGTGTGCATTTGCCAAAGGTTAGCTGGCAGTAGAAATACGGCTTGTGTTCACAAACCAAGACTTCTGGGGCCAGGGGACTGTCCATTGTAGGTACAGAACATGGCTTTGGTCTCTCATTTTAGGCAGATGAGCTAACTGCCCCATATGGCAGATACAGAGGGAGAAACACATATGCACACATTAAAAATAAACACATGCACGGGCACACATGTAAGAAATGCACTTTGTAACTAAAGGCATCTTCTTTATTTTCAAAGTCTGATATAGAATGAATTGCATTTGCTTAGATTTGCATCTTCCTTAGATTTGCCAGACAGTAATCTTGGAATCAAAGCATAAGAGCCATCATTCCAGAGGTTGGTTACCCTTGGTGGGTAAACCAGGCATAGTCTGCCCCTATGAGTCTCAGCCACCTAGAGGGAGGTCTCTGTCATTTCTCCTGGAGGACCTCAAAGCTGGGCTTACCAACTCCATCTGCACTGGGCCAGGGCACCACCCTGCCGCTGGATTTCTCCTTTGACTGTATCAGCACAGGGCAGAAGGGGTGGATAGTGGCCGTGAGTTCTGCTATGCCTACCTCTACATTTTTTAATCATCACTTTCAACCACTTATACCAAGGTAATTAACACATTTAGAGACAGCCACCCTGGGTCCAAATCATCCATTATAGCTCCATCTCCAACTCAATGCCAATGACAAATCTCTGACTGATTACAGTTTGGATTTCAGTCTCCACTATTAATCACCGCCGTTGCTTCTCTCTCCAGGGCTTGATTTATAGTGGAAGTAGCAACCTTCAAAGCAGGGAGGATTCGTCACTGTCCCTATGGAGAGGAAAACTACTTAATAGAGGCCAGCTGGTCTCAGAGTTCTCCAGTCTTTTGAGGGCTGGGGGGGGGGGGAAATGCGTAAAAATTATCCTATTCTGCATGGCCTCTCCCAATTGCCTTCCACTATCTGGAACTCTGTACAGGATCCTCACAAGTGGGACAGGTGCCTCTCATTAATCTAGGGACACTTCTAGGAGTGACTATGTCCTTAACATACACATACTTTGTCTTTCCTATGTCCCTAGGCATTCCTTGTCATAATCAAGTGAACAATGTAGGGAACTTATTCCTTCTAGACCAAATGGAAATCAGCCAGGCCACTCGCACAAGACTTGAATCATGGCTGTCGCTGTACCTGCCACTCACTCCCAGCATTCGGAGCATAGAAAGAAGGCAATTCCTGCAATCTGTATTTGGGGTAAAATTGGGAGTTCAAAACCCACTTGAATCAAATGTATGAAATATGATATGTCAAGAGCTTTGTAATGTTTTGAACAACCAATAAAAAAAAAAAGAATGAGAATTGTACTGCTTTGAGGTGAAGGAAGGCTTCACAGAAGATAATACATTCCTTTATTTTGAAACTGTGTCCTTATATAAATGATTTTGTCAAATGAGTGGTGGGGAAATGGTGAGTTTGTGTCATAAATTAGTGTCACAAGTACATAAATTAATGTTTTATTAGCCATAAAAATAAAGCTAGAAAATTAAAAAAACAAACCTGTTAGCTAGATCAATGGAATCCACATTGATTGTCTTCAAAATTAATATTTCATTTTAAAAGTTAAAATTGAGTTTGTCAAGTTTTAAGGAGAAAAAATTGCTTCTTTGATAAATCAATAGCTTGTAAATGCCACAATAGTTATTAGATTTAAGAATTAAATGCTGCTTGAATAAAACAGTACATGTTTCTGTAAAAAAAAAAAAAAAAAAAGAAGGCAATTCCCAGCCCCTGGTTGTTAGGTGGGGCCTCTGGACTTTGAGCAGAAGTGATGAGAAGGCTAGAGGATTTAATGACCCCTACAAAATGCTCCAGAGCCTCTTTCTTTCCACTCTGACATAGTCAAAAGCATTTAGCATGGTGGGCACTTCATCATCTTGAAACCATTAAGTAGGAGAAAGGCCCCCAGGCAACTTGTGATAGACTTGGAACATGAGAGAGAAACTTGTTGTTTTAAGCTATTGAGTTGAGTATTGTTTCTTACCATGGCATAATTGAATCTATCTTGTCTGATACACTCAGTAAGCTCCAGAAGGAGGAATCAATGGGGAAAGCAGTTGTGTTCTTCTTTCTTTGTCCTCCTCCTGACCGTCCATCCAGCCTTTTCTTTAACAAGCATCAAGGCTGGTGTGACACACTTCCCTGTCACTGCCACCAGGCAGACACAATGCTTATTCATTTGTGTGGGCAGTTAGACTGGGCAGCCCCTCTCAAGTCTAAGAGTTGCCTACCTAAATCTACCAGGCAACAGAGAGAGGTTGATTGAATCACTGACCACAGCCCCATGACCCTGCATCATTCCTCAGCACTGGAATACATTGTTTTTTTTCATAAGAGAAATGGTTGAATGGTGCCAATCTCTCTCTTTCATTTACCAAATGGTAAAGGAGAAAACGTTTCATGCAGGCCATGGAATCCCTGTGTCATGCTATGCCCTGCTTTCTATAGTCAAAAATACTAAATAAGTGGCCTCCATATAGGTATTGTGGGATTGCTGAAAAGACTGCGATTCATTCCAAGGGGATCATGGAAGATGTTTTATAATCAAGGCAGAATCAAGGGACGTTGGAAAGGATGAGTAGAACCTAATTGTGTGTGAAAACTGGAGGTCAGCTGTCTAGAAGAGAAACAATGGGAATGAGAAACAGACAGAAGTCACTGGCCTGAGGAGCTCCTTCAGATGCCACCTAAAGGGCCACTTATTTTACGGCTTGTGGGCCAGGCCTGATACCAGGTAAGAATTGGATCAATGCAAATTCTGTTCCACTGCTCCAGGCCACCCGCCCAGATTCTAGTAGTCAATTTCCATTTGCCAGCCAACATTTCCACAGGGAAACTCCCCACCAGCTTTGTGCTGGATTCTCGCACTCCTCCCAGGAGCTGCAAACGTCATGGCCTAAATTTCCAATTTCATTAAAAACCATCTTTCCTATTAGTCTCCACCTGAGTCCATTTTCAAATCTGGTCATTGCTTCTTCACAGCCACTGGCATTGTTCCTCCTTTTTTCTTTCTTCCTTTTTTTTTTAAATATATGACAGCAGAATGTGTTACAATTCTTATTACACTTTTTCATATCTCTGGTTGTATACAAAGTATATTCACACCAGTTTGTGTCTTCATACATGTACTTTGGATAGTAATGATCATCACATTCCACCATCATTAATCACCCCATGCTCCCTCCTTTCCCCTCTAACCCCTCTGCCCTATCTAGAGTTCATCTATTCCTCCCATGCTCCTGCTCCCTATCCCACTATGAATCAGCCTCCTTATATCAAAGAAAATATTCAACATTTGGTTATTTGGGATGGCTAACTTCATTTAGCATTATCTTCTCTAACTCCATCCATTTACCTAAAAATGCCATGATTTTATTCTCTTTTATTGCTGAAAAATATTCCATTGTGTATATATGCCACATTTTTTTAATCTGTTCATCTATTGAAGGGCATCTAGATTGGTTCCACAGTTTAGTTATTGTGAATTGCACTGCTATAAACATTGATGTGGCTGTGTCTCTGTAGCATGCTGTTTTTAATCTGGTGAGGTGAATAGAGAGCCTATGTCTTGGGAGCAAATTTTTACCCCTCACACAACAGATAGAGCACTAATCTCTAGGGTATATCAAGAACTCAAAAAGTTAAACATCAAAAAAAAAAACAAATAACCCAATCAATAAATGGGCCAAGGACCTGAACAGACACTTCTCAGCTGATAATATACAATCAATCAACAAATATATGAAAAAATGTTCATCATCTCTAGCAATTAGAGAAATGCAGATCAAAATCACTCTAAGATTTCATCTCACTCCAGTCAGAATGGCAGCTATTATGAAGAAAAACAACGATAAGTGTTGGTGAGGATGTGGGGGAAAAGGTACACTCATACACTGCTGGTGGGACTGCAAATTGGTGCAGCCAATATGGAGAAGCAGTATGGAGATTTCTTGGAAAATTAGGAATGGAACCACCATTTGACCCAACTATCCCTCTCCTCGGTCTATACTCCCTTTCTTTTTCTATTGCCCCCTGCTGCCCACTTCTAGCAGGTGCCTATCCCTATACCCCTGCTACCTCTGTTCAACTTAGCAGCCACCTCCTTTCCCTTGTATCTGCCATGCTAGCTCAGCTCTGAGCCTTCATCCACAACCTTGATTTTCCAAGAACTTTTAAAATTCATTTTTAACAAGGAATTCAAACTGATTTTATTTATGTTCAAAATATTTTTATTTCTGGTTATGAACTTCTCATTCATTCATGTATCTGTTACCAAGGAAAAACCTAAATAAACACTCTAGCTTAGCTGGCTCTTAATTGACTTTTTCATAAGACTTTTTCATAATTAGAGATTTTTCAAAATCACTAATTTTGGAGGTCACACAGCTGAATGATACATTATTAGTTTCTCACTAGCGTTGCTGTAGATAAGACCTCTGATGTATAGGATATGATGATAACGGTTGCCTAGGTTACTCTTCAGGGACCTGAAGGCTGCTTCTGCTGAAATACTGACTCTTCTCTTGGGCCTATAGATGTCCAATGGGTACAGATGAAAATACTTAGCATCTCTGTCTTCATCTTGTGTCTGTCCCCTATGTTGCCTTGACCTTAGGGTCATATTCTACTAAGTTCTGCTTATAGACCTGTCCAACACTTGAGAACTGTTTTGTCTAAAACTATAATATAAGGTTAACTTGCCCTAGACTTCCCTAATCTCTTTCTCCCTTTGCCCTTTCAAAACTAACAACACCCATCAGCTTCCAGGACCAGAAACACTAGACCACAAAAGGAGTGAAAAGAGATGGCACCCAAGTTCCTGGAAGATACACACCTATTTCTAAAATAGACACAAATATTCCTCACATTTATTAAGCTGCTTCTCTCCCTCATTATTCCCATCCTATACCGGAGTTAAGAAGTTGATTGTGAGTGAAGCTAATTCTCCTCCATTCTTTGGCCACAGAATAAGGCCTTTCTTTCTCCCCAGCACTTGTCTCTGGGACATTGTTTTTCCAATGGAATGAAGCCCCAAACCTGGGTCTGGTAACCTATCCAATCATTTACTCCCCACCCCACTTTTGGTACTGGGGATAGAACCCAGGGTTGCTTAACCACTGCTTCACACCTTGAGCCCTTTTTAAAATATTTTATTTAGAGATGGGGTCTCCATAAGTTGCTTAGGGCCTTGCTAAGTTGCTGAGGCTGGCTTTGAACTTGTGACCCTTCCTGCCTCAGCCTCCTGAGCTGCTGGGATTACAGGCATGCACCACTGCGCCCGGCTCCTCCTTTATCCCATTTGCAACTGATGGGCAACCTTTATATACTGTGGGAGAATAATATAATGATATGATAACTTCAGTCTTATTTTCAGTGCTATGGGATAGAGGGGCATCAATAATAGGAAGAGATTCTTCTTAGTGAAATTGAAGCAAAGGAATGATGCATCCTGGGAGAGAAAGGGGACTCCTTCGGGAGGAGGCCAGCATCCCTAGGAAGACAGGATTTCTGAGGACCTAAGCATATCTCGGACCAAATACAATAAGCACCACAGCCACAGGCGGCACAGGGAAGATCCTGGGGCTGAGGTTAGCTTGGAGAGAGTGGAAGCTCTGAGGCTGGGTCTCCGCCCATCTCTGAATGGACCCTTTCAACTCAGACAACAAGCTTTTCAGCTGTAATCACACTGGGCTGAAATGATGAGCACAATTTCTCAAAGCATTATGTAAATCCCTGCCAGTTACATAAGGAGGGACTGTGTGATATTGAGATCAGTTACCCATGCTGAGCCATATTGTCCTCATCTGTAAAATGCCACACCTACCAGTGAGGGACACAGGCTCTACTATGAATGACGTTGTTCTCAAAGGTGAGAGCATGGAGCACAGAAGAAACCACTCCTGTGACAAGTGTTACTATTGTGAATAATCATATGCCAGTGAATTGTCATTCCCAGGGAGATAGACAGCTCGTCCTTCTTACCCTGAAAGTCAGTGGAATGGCCCTGAGCCTAACTTGCCTGCCCAGTTCTTTTTTTTTCTTCCAATATCTTTTTTTTTTTTAAATTTTTTATTGTTGGCTGTTCAAAACATTACATAGTTCTTGATATATCATATTTCACACTTTGATCCAATATCTTTATTTTATTTTTATGTGGTGCTGAGGATCAAACCCAGTGCCTCACGCATGGTAGGCGAGCGCTCTACCTCTGAGCCACAACCCCAGCCCCTGGCTTCCTAGTTCTTGATCTAGTCTCCTCTGTTCCTCTTGGACTGACACAACTTTCAGCATCCCCACTAGAAAGAGAAACCAGGGCTGCTCAGCAGACTTTCTGCCAGCCCACAACACCCCAATCCTTGCCTACTTTCAACAACAGTAATCCAGTCCCCTGTGTGTCACCTAAGGTTTCCCTGCCTTCATGCCAGCGAGCATGAAGAAAAAGGGAAGGATAATGTTTCTTTTATTGGACTCCCAAGCCCACACACTAAGCTGACCTTAAAACAGAGGCTCCCTCCTGGGACCAGCAAGATGAAGGGGATGAAGACAATTTTCTCATAAATGTGCAGCCAGCAGATGTAGTCTCTGTTTGTTCTCCAATGCACAGTAATGTCCACCGGCATACAGTCAGCCCCTGGTCAATTTGCCTCAGAGTGAGGGGACAGCAGGAAGAAGGGTGCTGTAGTTTGGATCTTGAATGTCCCCTAGAGGCCCATGTCTTAAAAGGCTTGGTCCCCAGGTGCTATACTGGGAGGGGGTGGGACCTTTAAGAGGTGGGGCCTAGTGGGAGGTCTTTAGGTCACTGAGGGTGAGCCCTTGAAGGGAATTGTGGGACTTCCAGCCACTTCTTCAATCTTGTTTTTGCTTCCTGGAGATGAGGTGAGCCATTTTTCTCTGTCACATACTCCTTCCATGATGTCCTGTCTTGTCACAGGTACAAAGCAATAGGGCCAATCAAGCATGGACTGGAACCTCCAAAACTGTGGGCCAAAATAAACCTTTCCTCTCTATCAGCTGATTATCTCAGGTGTTGTAGTATAGTGACAGAAAGCTGACTAACACAGAGAGGAAAAGGAAGGCCTGGGAAAATATGATTTTACTAAACAATAAGACTACAAAAAAGTATATCTGAACATGTCAGGAAACCTCAGTCTGAGGCCTTCTGAGTTACTCCAAGGAGGCTACTTTCTGTTGAATTACTCCAGGTGAAGACTGCCACAGGATGCTTTACTATGGGCTTCTGGCCCTTCAGGAAGGACAGCCCAGCCCCTTTGGCCCTACCACATAAGAGACCAGCATGCCAATCTCATGGGACACAAAGGGCACAAAGCAGGAAAACCTCAGCCAGAACCCAGGCTTGGGGTGACTTGAATGTTCCCTATTTCAAGGTGCTGGCATGCTAAATTTTTTGACCTCCTGGAATTTTGCACCAACATTTATCAAATATTGTAAGTGGTAAGCCAATGACTCTGATACATAAGCAATTTAGCACAGAATCACTCAATCTAGAATTATCATTTTTAAAGTCTCCATAAAACTAATATGACACCTGCCAATTTTATGTACAACCAAAACTTAGATGTGGCTCAGAGTCAGCAGCTCTCTTAAATGTCTGAACCAAATATTGCTTTGATCTTGACCATCCATGGTTATAAGGACACCATCGTAGCTGATTCTAGGGGATCAGGCCAGTCTTCAAGAGAAGCCAATAATCTTCCAGGTGATTTGGTTAAAAAAAAAAATTGAAACAGAGATTATAGACCAAAGGTTTGAGAAATAAACCAATCAAACACGTCCTTTTTGAAGACGTTGGGTCCCAGGTCTCATCCCCAACTCTCCAGCAGGGTTATGTGCCAACTCCTGCATTGTGACAGACCTGTGCACTTGGAGCCCTGCATATCACTGCTTGGGGGGACTTGAGTCTAGGTGGACAGCATTTACAATCAATGGTCATTGAAGCCGTTTCCATGTTCTCCCCACCATCATTATGTGGGAAGACACCCAGGAGGCTCCTTGGGGCCAGGGGTCTTTAGTTTTGGAAGGTTAGCTTTGGCGTCTTCCAGGGTTAAAGGTAAAGCTCTGTGGCATCTTCTACCTCCAGAATTCCCCACCCCCTTCAGTTTATTCTGCCAATTCTCCACAGGCCACCTCTCCCTTCACCCTCCTCAAGCTCCCTCCACTGACTTTGGTCTTCCTCGTGTCTCAATGGACACTGTCTAGATCTGACAGGTGACTGGTTCCTTTTAGGACCAAACCTTTGGGTGCTGGCCTCACCCTGCCTACTCCTCTCAGCCTGCCTTTTATAATTATTTTCATGCACCAACAAAAGTCACTTGAATTTCAAAAGCCTCTCTGCCAGTTTCCTCACACACTTGTTAAATTACTGAACTACCTAAAAGCCCACTCAGGGAGGAGAAGAGAATTAAAGCACTCTCTCAAATAATGCCACATTTTTAAAGGGACAAAATTCTCCTACAACTTGCTGGCAATTGAGAGACAGCTGAAGTTAACACTTGTAGCTACCCACTCCTTTTCTTCTTTTCTTTAAGCCAGGGATAATGGGAGTAGGAATCATGTTCAGAATAGAGGGGTTGATGAGGCAAGGGTTCAGACTATTGGAGAGACCTAACCAGAGAGGAAATGTTCCAGAACGCAGAGGGCAACGGGGTTAAGGGCTTAACAAGCCTCGTTCCAGTGGTAAAGAGCCCCACTTATGAACCCATTCAGGAAATATTTATGATAAGCACTTACCAGGTAGTGAATTCAAAGGAGTCCAGCTAGGGAGGATTTCAGTGTGGATAAAGCATGTGCCAACAGGGTCTATAAACAACAACAGAGAGCCAAGGACAAACAGGTGGCCCTTCAGCAACACTGTGCAAGAGGAAAGGAGAGTAGAAACCTCTGACCGGGACTGAGGCAAGGGAGGAGGGCTCCTTGGAGGAGCAGGCCTCTCTGAGTGAGGCTCTCAGGACGAGTTGTCTTACGGAAGGCAAGATGTGTACACAAAGGGGCACTCCCAATGGCCACTCCGTGTCGTCCTTTCATTGAGGGTATGAGACAGTCACTTTTTTCTTAATGTCCTGAAGAAACTCGTCTTTCCATCACTTGGTCTGTCCCTTACTAATCTTCCACAGAAATGACATGGAGACTGGAAACCTCTCACACCAGGCTCTTTTAAAACCAGGGTGACTTCCAGAGAACATCCTGATAATGTCACCTAACCAGGATGACCCTGGTGACAGGAAGGAAGCCAAGGACAGAAACAAGTCCTCCTCTGCTTTTGGTTACTTAGCACGGAGTCGATGACAATGTCTAGACATTGGGCTCCCCCCACCCACAGATCACTAGGGAATTGAAGAACAGCTACTAGTGCTACCCCAACTATCCCTCCCATGGTGGCCCGAGGCCACACCTTCTTAATTTGCTGCCCTCCTAGTCTTGTGTTTTCCATGTGAGGCTTCTGTTGCCAGCCTCTTATGTAAGAAGAACCTGCTGTTTACCCCTTCCTTCCTTCCTTCCTTCCTTCCTTCTTTCCTTCATTCCTTCTTTCCTTCCTTCCTTCTTTCCTTCCTTCCTTCCTTCCTTCCTTCCTTCCTTCCTTCCTTTTATTGGTACTGGAGATGGAACCCAGGGGCACTTTACCACTGAACCATGTGAGAACTAGAAAGTTCAGTGGTCCATTTTCAGAATATAGTATTTAGCCTTAATTGGGACGTTAGATCCAATTGTAGCCATTTTAACTAAAATTAGCTAATTGCATAGATTGTAAGCCTGAGCTCCTCCTATCAGGGCCAGGGGAGCACTGCATTCAGGATAAAAGTAGGACAACTGCCCACCCAGGCACCCTTGCTGGGCAGGTTCTAGAGCACGCCCTTCTAGCAGAAATCAAGTCTGCCTTGCCCACCCGCTTCTGAGCACATTGTTCAATTTCTTGCAGCACCCCGGGATTTCCAACAACTACATCCTCAGCATTTTTTATTTTTTATTTTGAGGCAGGGTCTCCCTAGGTTGCTGAGGGTCTCACTAAATTGCTGAGGTTGACCTTGAACTTGGGATCCTACTGCTTCAGCCTCCAGAGTGCTGCTGGGATTATAGGCCTGCACCACCACCTTTACTGAACTGCTGTTTTCTGAGATCCGGTTTTTTCTCACTGCTCCACACAATACTCCTTAATAGAGGGAGCCAAGTATCAGCCTGGGTCTTCAGCAGCACCATTAGCTTCCAAAGGAGAGCCTTTTCCAGGATAAAAACAGATGATCATCCCACTTAACAGCTATTAAGTGGTGTTAATTACCTGTTACATTCAGCAGGTTGGAAAAAAAAATTTTTGCTCAAAACAAATAAGAGGGTGAACTGAATGAGCCAAGAAGTGCAAACTGTCACCATCATCATCAATTAGTACCTATTGTGTACTCACTGGTGCATAGACAGGGAAGTGGACGATTTGTTGACCTCCCTGATCCACAGCCCTAAATGCAGAGACAAGACAAATAAGTATGGCCCTCTCCTATGGCCCAGGTAGAGCAAGTTCTCTGAATCCGAGCATACTCGAATGTGTTTGTCCAAGTCCATCTAAAGGTTTGTATTAGCTGGTGCGCCCCAAGCTTTACCAGGAGTTGAATGAGCAAATTAACATTTTGAGGAAACCACAAAATAGTATTATATTTTTTTCTGCTGCCAGCAAGGGCTTGAGTGGCAGTATCTTAGTGAAGAAAGTAGTTAAGGAACAAGAGATTTGGGCTCTATCCCTGGCTCCTAAGATACAGAACCCTGAGTAAATTATTTAATGTCAGTGGGCTCAGTTTCTCCAACTATAAAATGGGAACAATAGTATCTATTTCATAGGAGTGTTAGGAGTATTGGATCCCTTAGCCTGTGTGAAGCCCTTAAAATAGTATCTGACACATAGCAATACTTCATGAATAATGACTGTTATCTGTAAGAAGAGGTATTTAACCCACACAATCTCCACAACGTTTTTTAGCTCAAAGATTCCACACACTATGCAAAATGTAGCAATTGAGCTCCTTGAAAATCAACCAATGTATCTTCCCTTTCCTTCTCCAATCTCTTTCCAGTTCTTGCAAATTTTTAAAATCCTCTTTCCCTCCCACTCCAGACTAAATTCTATTCCCAGAAATGCCAGATGTTTAGGGGAAGTTGGTCATTTTGAGTATCAGCAATAACTGCCCCTGTTATGGTTTGAAGATGATTTGTCCTCCTGAGCTCATGCAAGAGTTTAGTCCCCCAAAATCTTATGCTCATGGTATTAAGAGGGTAGAAACTTAATCCGACTATGGTGGTTAGAGATGGAATCTTTGGAAGTGATTAGATTAGATCATTATGTGGCTTTCCCATGTTTGAACCCTGGTGGCTTTAGAAGGAGAGAGACCACACTGACAGAGACACTTGCTCCCTTCCACCATTATGTAACTTAGATGAGGGGCGCTCACCAGAACCTTGCATCATGCTATTTAGAACTTGTGCCTCCAGAAACAATCTGTAGCAAAAATAAACCTGTTTTCTTTATAAAGTAGCTTGCCTTGGATATTTTGTTAAAGTAATGAAAAGTGAACTAATACAACTCCTAACTTACAAAGCTCTTGGATCACTACTATGTACCAGTGTGTGCCTGCTCCATTTGTCTATTGTGTCTTTATGGGTGGGCCTTTTCCATAAAATTGTCCTATCTACATAGGGACTGACATCATGTTCATTTATTCATTCAACAAAATGTGTTAAATGCCTTCAATGAAGTGTGAAACACTATGGCAGGCACTAGAGGTGCCAGGGTGAATTAGGTGATCACCATGATGTGTTCCAGGCATTCCCAGACTGGTGGGGGGACTGACCACTGAACAACGGAACATGCTGCAGGCTACACTCACATAATGACAAGCAAAGGGTCAAAAGCAATAGCTAAACTGTGGGTAGGAAAAAACCAGAGGCAAGCGCACAGCTGGTAGGCAGCCATGGGAAAATTTATCTCCCCCAGCAGAATCACAGAAGTCTCTGAGTCTGGAGAATCACTATGGCAAATCACTAGAGGCTTAACAAAAACCCTCTGCCCCCAAATTTAAGAACAGGTTTTCCATGTGAGGAGGTAACTGTCACTTTGTCATAAAGTGTCACCTCTTTCTCCTTCTCCTGTACCCAGTTCCAGATTCCATCACTTCGCGGTGGAACCAGCACAATCTCCTTCTATTGCTGTATCCACCCCTGATCTATTTTCACCCAGTAACCAAAGTGATCTTTTTGAAAGATAAATGGATCATGTCACTTTTCTGTTCAACCCTGCAATGTCTTCCCATTGCTCCTCGAATAAAAGCCAACTCCTTTTAATGCCCTTTAAGGATATTCATGATCTGGCCTCTGGGCCATTCTGACCCCACACCTCACTCCACTCCAGACACACATTCGCTCCTCAAATCGAGTAGGTTTGTTCCCACCTCAGGACCTTAGCTCATGCTATTGCCTCTGACTAAGAACCCATCTCCATACATTCACATGGCCAGTACCTTAACATTCAAAAATCCACTCAAGGTCACCTCCAAAAATGAGCCTTCTCTGTCCATCTAATAGTGTCTCCCTCCTTACTTGCTTTAATTTTCACACAGTACTTGTCATTATCTGAAGTATACTAAGCATGTATTTGTTTACTTATTTATTGCCTATTTTCCACACCAGAATGTTCCACAAGGGCAGCTTTTCTGTTCATGACTTTACCCTCAATGCCTAGAACAGCAGCTGACATATAGTGCAAGTTTTTTGTTGAGTCATCAAATAAACGGGTCATTCCCCACACAAAAATAGCTACCAATATCTCAAGAATCATTCTATGAAAAACCATAATAGTCATCTCAGTAGACTGAAAAATGGCACTAATTCAACATGAAGTTAGCAAGGTTTGGGTTCAGTTAGAATCAATATGTCCCATATACACAAACAGTAGCCCCAGCCCTGCTTGATCCCTTAGAGGGGTGTACTATTGGTCATGAAGGGCTTGGGCAAAGAGCAATCAGTGCAAATTCAGTTGAATTTGACTCAATTCTCCAAGCTCTGAGCACTCAACTCGCTGGTTTAAATATGGCAGGAGGCCCAGCATGACCTAAAGACCTTACAACAGATCAGGGGAGGTAGGTTGAACACCTAAGTGGCTATATACCAAGGCAAAATGCGGGCAGACGTGAAATAAAAGTATATGCATAGTAGGTTCAAAGGAGGTAGATTTGCCAGTCCAGACCCTTACAAGGATACAGAGTATAGTGGAATAAATGTCTCCCTTAAAATTCACATGTTAACTTCCTAATTCCAAGGTGAGGGTGTTAGGAAGTGGGGCCTTCCAGAGGTGACTAGATCCTGAGAGTGGAATCCTCATGAATGGGATTAGTGCCATAGAAGTCTCCCATCACGTGGTAAATGAAAACCCTGGGCTTTACTCAGATTTCCTGGTAGGAGAGTGAAGAGTGAGACAAGATGAAGAACAAGTAGGGTTGAGCCTTTGGTTTCACCAACAGCCAAGCAATAAGTAGAGAAAGAAATGCAGACTGTGAAGGCTAAGAAAGACCATCTAAGCACATAAAAGGAAAACCAGAGGGCACAGCATCAAGAAAGCCAGGGGGACCTGTGTTTAAGTCAAAAGAGATGCAGAGGGCTGGGATTGTGGCTCAGCGGTAGAGCGCTCGCCTAGCATGTGTGAGGCCCTGGGTTCGATCCTCAGCACCACGTAAAAATAAAAGATATTGTGTCTAACTACAATTAAAAATAATAAATATTTTTTTTAAAAAAAGAGAGAGATGCAGACATCTAGACACTGCTGAGGGAGATGAATGTCATGTGGAATGAAAAACGCCCACAGATTCAGTGACACTGATGTCACTACCTTTTCACATACTGTATTGAGAAATACAACAGAGAAAAGGAGGGGTGCACAGGGAGCTCCTGGGAAATAAAGGGCTTTGTTCTTGTTGGTTACTTGTTTTCAAGAAAGTATATGGGATGAGCACACCTGTGAAGGTGTGCAGGTGGACAGTCCTGCCAGAATCTTGATCCCATCCATCACTACAGAAGGTGGTACCAACTTCAGGTTGACCTGAAGACTGAAGATGAGGTTTTCATTTCAAAAAACAGTCAACTTACAGGAGATATTGTACAAGGCAAACAAGCTGTTTGTAAATTGGAGACAGTCCATGAATCTCCTATAGCCCCACAGCTCTCGGAGATGATATTGCCACGTCTTAGAGTAGGCGTCCAATAATAACTCAACCAACAAGTGGATGAGTGGAACATCCTGGGGTCTGATTAATCACTTCTCCCTGGCATTTCAATCATGGCCATCTCATACACTCCACACAAAGAAGTTCTCAGGGCCCCACAGATACCTGGATACTGTCAACAGTATTCAGGGCTGAATGAGTACCAGAGGCCTGAACTGGGCAGAATTTATACCACCTCAAACTACAGCCCAGCAGACGTGTGCAAAGACACAGAAAAGTCCTTTAGAACATATC